CCTTTAAAACCCCTAATTTTTAAAAATATTTAATTGAAGGCTAGTTATGCTAAGCCTTGTTTCAGGGGTGGCGCCAGGATTTGGCCGACGTCTCCGACGAGGGGGCCGATGACCTGACGAGGGGTCAGATTTCCCCGACGAAAGCAAAGTGGGCTTGGTCGAGCTTCGACTAAAAGGGTTCGAAAGTGGTCCTGGGCCCCCGAAGATTTCGATAATTAAGGGGTTTCAAAGGCTTATTAATCGATTTTATAGTCTAATAATATGTAGAAAATGCATATAATTTGTTTTTCTCCCTGACGAATTGTGCTTTTTCTTCCCGATGGGAGGGGGCAGCTCTCACCGACGAGCTCTGGCCTCCCCCGCCCATCCCCGCTGGTGCCACCCCTGCCTTGTTTGTCCGATCTACCAACCTATACCTAGTTAGGTTAGCGTACCATTTTTATATTTTTTGTGTACATTTCTTAACAGAGGGGGATTCGTCCAAACCTCATGGTTGGGAGCTCTCTCTGAGGAGGCACCCTTGAAACCCCTAAATTGTGAAATGTTTCGGGGACTCCCCTGGACCACTTTCGAAACATTTTCAGCGAAGCCGGCCACGTCCATTCTACTCTCGCTTGGAAATACAATACAGTAAAACAATACATTGGTCACTACAGTATGCATCACAAGGAAGGGACGTTACTCGGCCGAACGCCCTCCTGAGGCGTAGCATTGTGTAATACAGTACAATGTTCCCAACGGTTATTTGGACCTGTTCAACCATGAAGCCTTCCTGGTCTAGTGGTTATGACGCGCGCCTTGTCAGCGAGAGGTCGCAGGTTCAAGTCCCGTCGGAGGCATTTTATTACACAATGACTTTTATAGGACTTAATTCGTTGAAAAGCTTCAGGGTGCCTACGATGTTCCATCATGTCCTTATTTAAACACTGTATATGTACCTTTGATGATTTATGTTATATTTATTCAACAGTATTAACGGCTAACTTCCTTCAATATTATATATATATATATATATATATATATATATATATATATATTTACATATTTATATATACATGTATATACATATGTGTGTATATATATGTGTATATACATGTATATACATGTATATATACATTGCCGTAATGAAGCTTTTACTTACTTGGATTCTTAATGTATTGTATATATTTTTATGTATTGTTTTTCTTTCGAGGGCCTCTTCAAGTCAGCTGTACTACTGTAGTGCAGCTGTTAGAGCTACCCTCGTGAAATAAAGTTGAAATAAAAATAAAAATAAAAATAAATATTATATATATGTGTGTGTATATTTTTTAATCAAAATTATTATTATAATACATCCATATGCGCAGTGCTATGCAGCATACTATGGTGTAGATATATATAGTTCATTGAAACAGCGACGATAAACATATATGAAAATTAGTTTATAGTTACGTTAATAATGCAAATTATAATACAATATATATATATATATGTATTATAATTTGCATTATAAATGTAACTATAAACAAATTATTATATAATTATGTTTATCGTCGCTATTTAAATGAACCGAAAAAATACTAATATCGCGTTTGAACAATTACTTTTTGATGCCAATTTTTGACCTGAAAAAATCGTTGCAGGATTCTTGTATGTATTAAAATATATTAATAAATTTTAGTTATAGGTCACAATGTTTATATCAATCTATTAATTAATAAGTAATTAACTAATTTATGATGTTAATAAAGATGTTAATAAACCATATATACGGCATTTCTACGGATATTCGTCACCTCGTGTGAACCACATTGAGCTCTGCTTACTAAAAATACGTAGTAATCGCGCGATATTATTAGCACTTGCTTTTGTTTTGTTTTGCACTTACATCCAGCATTACGCCCACTGAATTGTTTAAATGCTTAAATAATTAAAAGCATAAATTATGTAGTCTAAATTATCATAGAATTTACAATGAAACTAATATTCTATAAGATTATTTTTTAAAACAGAATAAAATATTTTATTGAAAAATATTTTATTGCATATACGTTATAGTTGATTTAATGTGCTGAATTATTATTAATGGTAGGCCTATATACCTATTATATATTTCTATAAAGTATCAACAAATATCTCATTAATCACACTATCGTAAATAGGCCTATTGAAATATTATTGAAACATTATTTATTCTTTATTACAGCATTATTCGAGCACCTCTATTATTATTAGTATTGTTTTATATATTATTTATCAACCAAAGTAACATTGAAAACATAAATTATGTTAATAAAATTATCAGAGAAAATAAACTTATAATTCATACGATTATTTTTTTAAAACATTAAAATAGATAACATATATATTTAAAAATCAGGTTTTGTAGAGACGCAAGTTGATTTAGTAGCCTATATGCTGATTTATCTCATTAATTAAACTATCGTAAAAAGGTCAGTTATAGTATTATTAAAGTATTATTATTCATTATTATAGTATTATTTGAGCTCTGTTATTATTATTATTAAAGTATTATTATCCATTATTATTATTCATTATTATTAATTTTATTATTAGGCCTATTGTTACTACTACTACTACTACTACTACTACTACTACTACTATTTTATTTATAATGTTTGTTGTTTATTTTTTGTTTTATGTAATGGGCCTAGACATATGTATATATTTAATAATTAGAAATAATTATAATTAATTGTAAAATATATATAATATAATGTTAACAATCATATAGGCTAGGCTAGACTTAACCAATTATTGATACCATAATCTATCTAAAAACATCAATTTGTTTAATTAAACAGCAGCTTTTCGACTGTGGCAGTGCCGATAGAAAACTGCAGTGTTTTTTGGCACTGGGGCAGTGCCGATAGAAAATCGGATTTTTTTTTTCGCACTGCCGCAAAGCCGATAGAAAAATAACAGCTTTTTCTGGCACTGTGGCAATGCCGATAGAAAACAACAACTTTTTCGCACTGCGGCACTGCCGATAGAAAACAGGCGAGCTTTTTTGGCACTCCGACAGTGCCGATATAAAACAGCAGTTTTTTTTTTCGCACTGCGGCAGTGCCGATAGCCTCAGCCAAAGGAACTATGCACCCCGGATAGGGACGTCACTCCACTAAGGCTCTACTGACCCTCATACCCCAACCATAATCAAACTATTGCATCACACGTTACTCCAATAAGGTCAGCTATGACCCCGCACACCCTAGTCCAAATCAATGCATCTTAGGGTCTAAGACCAGCATAGCCCCATCCCCAAAAGTATCGACAATGAAAGATCTATTACGAAGAATGAAAGATTAAATGAAGATTTAATACGCTGCCCGATACAAATTCCTCAAAGAATCTTACAATCAAGTTGGCAACAACCAACCAGCACGTTTGTTTGATCCCTTTTCAAAAATGTTAATAAAGCTCAAAACCGGCAAAATGGATCTAAACACGACTCGAACTAAAAATGTTTACAAATATTTTTTTTTTCTGATGTCTCTTTCAGCCTATCATTTTACATTTTTTAATGGTATCTCATGTTTTTTTTTTTTTTTAGTTTGATAATATCGAATCTCAATTTCTCTTTTTTCAATCAATAAGATCAAACCAGCTGCATCCAGGGTCGTTAAAGAACAAACTGCCAGCGGGATAGGTTGGTGGAGAGCAGAAACGTAACAAGCATTAACAAGAAGATATCTGAAGAAAAAAATGTGGATTTCGCAGATTTTCAGTTGTAAAAATACTACCCTGGCAAAGTGGCAAATAATTCATTTCGGGTATCTATGGAAAAACATTTGGGCCGGGGGGAACCATGCCCCCTGGCACCTCCTAGGATATCTGGTTCTTAGAAGTCTCATGCCTGCAAATTTGTCTAACTTGTGATGAACATCTGGGTGGCACTTTAAGCTTCCATTGTGTAGCCTAGTAATTGTGGTAATAATACACGAAATGATAATTTATATATATATAATTATTTATATTATTCATGTGATAATTTTGATGAATTTATATATAGAACTGTATATAGTTTTTTTAATGTAAAGCAATCAAATTCAGCCATTGTCTGCCGATTGCTAATCTAATACCGGAATAAAATAAATTTAAAAAAAAATAAAAAAAAATAATAATAATAATACAGTAATAACAATATTTCTGCCTCTTCAAATAAGCCTAGTTGTGACCTATGACCATGGCAATGACGTACTGTTAAGGCGTTCTGATTTGCTTCAAACTTGCAATGGGCTCAACTTAGGCCCCTACCTGTAGAAAAAAAAAATCGCCCACTCCCTCCCCCCCCCCACTCCCCTTCTTTTAGCTTGGGCTGGCAATTAGTCCAAAAAATGTGCATACTAAAATATAACGTCTTTCAACATATTTAGTATTGCCTACGGGTATCTGTATTTTGGTTTTTCTGCATTTTCACTTTTTCTTTTTTATGATTTTTTTTTTCAATTTTAACATCATTTCTCATTATGGCAATGAGGAAAAAAACCGTATAACTTTTTTTTTTAATTTATATTTTTCTAATTAGAGACCAAAGCTGCTAAAGGCCATGAAAACCCCGGTCCCAAAAGTGGTCTTTAATTGAAGGGAGACTGATTATATTGAATTAAATAATCATGGAGGTATAAAATTGGTTACTGTAATCATCCTGGTATATAATAAGCACTCTCTGTTTAGTAAAACCATTTCAGACATGGCCATCTACCGCCCTCTGTGTATAATCAAATCAATGACGGTTCTGTTCCGTAATCTGCGTCACTACTTGCTATGACCAAAATGATAATAAATTTTAAAATAACTACGTTTAAGTGATCAAATATCTTTAAAATATAAATTAGTTTAGATGGTTCATTTACGATCAATTTCTGTACTAAAGTCTTTATTAAAATTGACTAAAGTAAGCTCATATATCAATAGGGGTGGTGCACCCGGATATCACATGCTTTTGTTTGATAAATGAAAATACTACTACTACTGACTGTACTACCTACCACGACATAAATGTAAACAAGGAGCATATCGGTCAACTCTGTTTGTAATATGTGTGTGATGTTCATAGTTTCAGTCTAGTGTAATAAGCCTAGCTGCTACTGGTGCTTTATTGTTGAACGTATTTATTAGTAACGTGAATTCACAACACATTCAACTACAATTACGAAAAAAACCTTCTTGTGTTTGCTGAAATAATAAGCAGTTTGGGATTGAAAATGGAAGTGTCGTTTGCTGGCTGTGGCTTCCTCGGCGTGTACCACATTGGGGTTGCCAGTGCATTTAGACAATATGCTCCTCACCTCATACAAAAAGCCTGTGGGGCCTCTGCTGGTGCCTTAGCTGCTTGTATATTAACGTGTGATATGGAACTTGGTAAGTAATTTTTTTATTCATTTATTTATTTTTTATTTTATTTCTATTTTTTTTTTTACAAAACAAGCCGGAAAAATTTCATATGTGAAAACAAATAATGTTTTCTATAGCGGAAAATATGTTAACTCTATCAGCCTAGGCCTAGCCATTAGCTTACCCTAGTCTAGGTTTTAGGCCTTGTCTTCGGACAACCTCGACAGCCACCGCTAGGCCTATTCATTCGTGACCTTCATTGGTTAATTTAATTTTGAAGGTGTGTCTCAGCCTGCTCCAATGGCGGACTGTTTCAGTTACACGCCTATGTTGTGGCCTTTGTCTCTTTGTTTTGTTTTCCCTGGCCTCTTGTGTCTTAATTAAGACTTACATACATTGGCACTGTATTAATAAATTCTCATCTGAGGTTCAGATGCGAATTTCTTTTTCAAGACATTTGTGGAAAGACCATACACAACATATTTCAAACAAGTTCAGTTAATTTCTTTTGTAATAAGCTCAACCAGTTAATTGCTCAACCAATTACTCCATGTTTTGACAGAGAATAGAAGGCTTGTCCAGGCTATAGTATACAAAACAAATCATAAAAAAATAGTACTAGTAGCTGAAAAGTACTGGTATGAAAATAAATCTTTCTTGTATTGTGACAGATGGTTTTTTTGGTGTCATAGATCTGACTCATTTCTGTCAGTCATATCGGTGTGTCAAAATTAGCATGGTTTTTATCTTAATACCCTTTGTAAACTTGGATTATTTCTGGACATGAATCAGACTACACATTGCCTTAATATCTCTACTAATATAGCTGGATTGATCATTGCGGATGGTTTTTAGTGAAGTCCCGATGCCATGTTGGGGGCCTAAGTGACGTACCAGTTTAGATTTGTTTTTTGGTTTTTTTGCATTGTTTAAATTATTTTTAAAATAACGATTCTTGCAATACTTTTTAATAATAAATTTAAATAAACGTAATGATTATTTTTCAAATCATTTAACCACGGAACGCAAGTATTTATGCAGTTTAAAATAGCGCAAGGAAAGTTAAATTACGTAGTTAGTGATCAACGTCACTATAACAATGCGACTTTACCCGTGCTTTTAAATCTGCATTACAGTTCACATCATATCGTCTAGCGGTCACAGGGACCGGAGTTTGATTTGTCATACTGTACGACACCATCAGTGCCAGGAACACTGCACATAAGCACGAACATATATCATCATCATGTTAAGTTGGCCAGAAAATGAACCGTTAAACAAATAATGTTCGCATTCAGGCTTTATCTGCAATGATAATTTTTTATTTGCAAAGATTATAGTGTCAGTGGGCCAGCGATAAGTTATAAACTATTGATTCAAGTACAGTATGCTTGGCCAAGGACATAAATATGTCACTGATGTAAAATGTAGCCAATGATTGGGCTAGTAAAATAACCAATGGGTTAGTGGAACAGTAAACTAGCCCAGTGGGCTAGTCATTGAAGAAAGTTATAATCGAGCCCTGTTAATAATGTTGTGGTTTAATGCCAGGTGGCGCTGCACTGCGGCTGCCGCGGGTCAACGGGTGCCCATCCCAAATTTGCAATTTTAAGTTGAACGAGGACAAATGAAGAATTATTATTTATTTTTTAATGTAGACTGAAAAGAGTGAAAAATTCTTTCAAATATTAATACCAAAATACTTTTTTTTTTTAATAGTGTAGGTAAATCCTAAGTTAATAATCAAGAGTGAGTCTATTTTTAATCATTTTGTTAATTAAATTTTTGAATTATTAAATTTTTAATGCATCCGTAAATTTCCCATCTTATAGGTTCTATTACACAAGATGTTTTAAACATGGCAAGACGAGCTCGTTCTAGGACGCTAGGCCCCCTACACCCTAGCTTCAATATTCAACAAATCCTGAAGGATGGTCTCATTCGCGTACTTCCGTTTGATGCATACAAAAAAGTCTCGGGCAATATATTCATCTCACTCACTAGACTGTCTGACCGCAAGAATGTCATTATCTCAGAGTTCGACAGCAATGAAGACTTAATACAGGTTAGTGGCAAAAGGTCCTTATTGAAAGCCAATGTCATAAAATTTAATTCCTCTTTCCTTTTGTTAATAGAGGACTGACCATACAGTACCTACAATACACCAGGCACTGTACCTACTGAATCACCAAAGATCTTATAATGAACTAAAGATTGCGCACGCCGCAATTTTTCACGTACAGTTAAGAAAAAAGTATCAATTTACATCGCGCCCTTTTGCTCAATCAAGTATTATGAACATTAATGGCGTACCAACGGTATACTATCTTTGTTACCTTTGGAATGGAACTGAAAGATTTGCTATGTCACTCTGGAAGTAAGAAATTAAACTACAGTACAATAAGGTATAGAGTCGTACTGTATAGCAGCTAGACATGTAATCTGTCGGTAGGTAGGACTAAATGTAGAGCCCTATGGTAAGTCCAACCTCTCAAGTGTCATCCGTCATTTTTCTTTGAATTTTTAAAAACTTGATATTGCCTCTAGTTAAATTGTGATTATTCAGTCTAAAACTTTGTCCACACTATAAAATTTTGTGTGAGAAATTTGTGTGATTTGCCTATATATGGGCATGATGATGTCATTATACCCAAATATGGGCATATCACATTTATTTGTCACATAAAGTTTGATAGTGTACACACAGCTTCTTTTTTGTTTGACAGACTATTTGGGCAAATGTAGATTCTTTCTCAATTCTTTTTCACAGGTGTTGCTATGTAGTGCATTTATTCCCTTTTATTCTGGGATTATACCTCCATCGTACAAAGGGGTGGTAAGTTGGTATTATTATTGTTGATATCATAATTGAAGGACCTGACTATTTTAAAATAATAAGGAATTGGACATATTATTTGATTGGAGTATTGTGCTTGAACTCCAGTGAGGTTAAAGGTCGAGAGTTGAAGCACCTGGGCCTAATTTAACAATGGTATAAATTTTTTTATGACCATCTGGAAGAGTTCAAGTGCACATCTGGATTATGATATGTTTTTTTCTTTAAAATATAAAAATCTAAAAACACTTTAAAATTAAACCTGTGATATTTCATCAGGTTTGTCTAAATTTTACAAACAGAATTTTAGTTTAATACTATTAATTTGATTAAAAAAATTACTTTTCCAAATGGTATGATTTCAAGCAAATGTTCTATCTTCATTGTTCAACTATGAAGGGCATAGCTAACATTGAGCAAGATAGGATATTACGGCAATTAATATTTAAATGATATTGCCAAGTTGATGTCTTTTTTATATTATTTACCAAACATAATTACTCAAAGAGTTCCAAGCATTACTTTTACCCAGGTGTTATTTATATTGTGCATTTGTCCTCTTTGTCCTTCAACTAGGGTGTCAATGACACAGGTGTTTGTTTTTTTTTTGTATTATCTTTTTAAAAGTTTTTATTATTTTACAATATTTACATTAAATGTATAGGATAGATAGTATTTTTTTAATCACATTAATATTTATTTCTGAAATGTCCGAACATTCACCAGTGGTATTGAAGATACAAGATTATACAATTAACTGTATGACTCTGGGTGAAATAATGGTGGTGGGGCTACTCAGCCTTGAAGTTTTCTACCAAGTCTAAAGCTAATTTCATTGGCCTTCCACCCACCGTTATTAACCTACTTTTCCATCCTTAAAATGCACTATTCAGAGGCGGATCCAGAAATGTCCAAAAGGGGGGGGGGGCGGAAGGGGTCCGAAAGTTGGGCCGATTGAGACAACACTGTCGTAAGGAGTCTGGGGAATGCCCCCGCAAAATGTTTGTGTTCTAGACGCCCGAACATAACATTTGAGGCATTCTTGGCCATCATTTTTTTCTTTTTCTCTCTTTTTTCCTTTTTTTTTCTTTTTTTACCTCCCGAAAGGGGGAACCGGGGCCCCCCTAAATCCGCCCCTAAATCCGCCCCTGCTATTATTAGAGTTTACCAATGTTATCACCCACCCACCCTTAAAATAGCAATCACCCACTCTTAGTTCTCAACAGCTACAACCCTAAGACTTTTGCAAATTTAAAGAAAATTTGAAATGTACAGAATAATTTAATGTAATAATATTAAAAATGTTTGAAATATATTTAAAATACTCCACTACACTGTATCTTAAAAATACTGTACAATAAAGGAAAATGTACGCAAATTTGAAGTACTGTATTTAAAAACAACAAAAGTAAACAATTTGCATCAGGCACCAATTTTTAAACATCATGAAGAATTTTTGATTGGCTATGTGTACACTGTGTGTCCAAATAGTCACACTACTACTTTTACTTTTTTTTTAAACTCACACAGAATATTTTTTTGTTTTCGCTCTATAGAAATATGTCGATGGTGGAATAAGTGACAATCTGCCCTCTCTTGGAGATGACACTATCACTGTCTCGCCATTTTCCGGGGAAAGTGACATATGCCCACCCTCTGATGACTTTAGCAGCTATCTACAATTATCGCTATCCAACACGTATATACAGATCACCCCAAGTAATTTATATCGCCTGTCCAGGGCGCTCTTTCCTCCCGATCCAGAAATTTTGAGAAAGATGTGTGAGCAAGGATTTGATGACACTCTTAAATATCTACAGAAAAATAGTGAGTTAATGTATATTTATTATATTAGATAAATTTCACATTCTTATACATACCTTTTTTGAAAATTGAAATATCTTTATTTCATTCTAATTTACAAAAATAATTAAATGATAATTATCATTTAGTAATAATAATAATGATATCAAGCATTTGTAGTGCGTAGCGATAGTATCTGTTCCGAGGGAACGCTCATGGATAAATTTTATTAGATTGTATGTAGTTTTTTTAGATGTAAATGTTTTCATTTTTTCTCTGATTTTCTCATTTTTATAGTCGTATACATTTATTTTACAATACATTCTGTCCTTTTCATCAGTGAACTCATTTGTTTTTCCCAGCCCAATATTTTCCCTTTTCATTATTTTAACTTTATCTATCCATTTAATCCCCCTTTACATAATCCTCCTTACAAAAATCTTCCAAGTTTCCTTCCCCTTTTGATTTTAGTTTATACTCTCCCATATGAAATTTTGAAAAATTCTGAATGGCCTTTACTGTCACAATAAAAAATTGTAACCTTGTCCTCAGATTCAATGTCATGTGACATTGTTACTCAATAACCAAGTAAATCACATATTGTAGTGATTTATCAGGTATTGATGTTGAAAGGATTTTGAATACAGTGAAAATGATGATTATCAATGCCATATAGTGAATATTCACAGATAGTTCATTCAATATTGAATAGAAATGCTATCATAGGTGATAATAGTGCCCCTACAGTAATACTAATGTAAACACTTTTATTGGAAATATGACATACTGTATTGAGCTAGTCACATGCAATACCGTTTATGGGTGGTGCAGTAATATAATTATTATTTTGATATTATCCCATAAAGCAACATGCTTTTCAATGAAATTGAAAATATGGTGTAAATTTAATTTTAATTCTATTTTCGAAAACATTATTTAATGTGCCTTTTTTATGGGTCACATTTTAAAAAATTTCATTTTTAAAGCACTGTCCAAATTTTATTTGACAAAAAAATATGACAATCTTATTATTGTATATGGTCATGATGACATCACATCATGACCATATGCAGTAGGCACATCAGGCATGAGTATTGTATTGACATACAACAGTTTTTTGTCAACGAGAATTTAATAGTGTCAACAGAGCTTCAGTGTACGAAACAAACACTTGTTTCACTGACTTCTTCACCCCTCCTTTCCCTAAAGTATTCAAGAAGATACTTAATTAATTATATAGCAAGTGAGAAATTTAATTTTCCAAAATTATTGGACAATAAAAATTAATCTGTATCTGTAAAAAACTCAATAAAATGAACATGGTCATTTTTTAAAAGTTTCATAAAACAGTATGTGCACTCTTTGACCCTTTAATTTTCACCAGCATATGTTTTGTAGTAAATATAAACATATGGATGACCCAAAAAGTAACTGGCAAATTGCAGCATACTGACCATAGGGTATCTTGTCAGATGTCCAGTACTTTAAATGAATTACTCTTTTTGAGTTCAGGTTTGTACAAATTGAATCAAATCAATCTGCTTGAGAAAGCAGATGAAAGATTGGCACTGAAATCTTCAACTCCAAATGCAAAATAACCTTTATGTTTCCCTTGCTCTTTACTCATCATTTTAAAATTTATATTTTCATTTCAACATTCTTATTGATTTACTGAACCAAGGCCAAGTACTGGTCAAGGAGAAATGGAGTAAATGAAGCAGCAACATAAAGATGCAATTCTAAATTGGCTGTGTTGAAATTATTGATTTGAAACAAATAATCTCATTAGATATACAATTATTATCTAATAAAAAAAAAAGTAGGACTCAAATGAGCCACACTGAAATCCTGTATTTATTCCATATCCCAAAATTTATGAATTTAGATATTACTTTCAATTTTTTCTTTTGATTTAAACCAGAAATATGTTGAGAACCCCTATCATGGGACCAAAAAAGTATACCCTTAATACTGATGTCCCCTGAATAGGGGTTGGCCATAGTGTTAAAATAAATTTTCGCCTGTTTTATGTCCTGAAAAGTGTCCCCTAAAAAGTGGTGTCACCTTAATAGTGGTGTCACGAAAGGAGGAGTTCTACTGTATGTAGTCACATTGATCTATAAAAAAAAAAGAAATGAATGTTTAACTTTTTATTTGTTAATTGAGTTTTGGTCTCTTGCAGATTTCATTTTGCTGTCATTGGCTTGTCCAGTTGACAAATACTTTGTTAGACTTGTAAAATTGTTTTTTTCTTGTAGAGTATACAGAGACACCATTTATGTACTAAGTTTACTTTTTTTTCCCTCAGCTATTATTCCATGCAACAAGCACATAGAGCACTACAGATCAGCTTCAGTTCCCTCCATAGACATAACCCCACAACAACAAAAAGAAATCCGCAAGTATTATACCTCTTTACCGAGGCATGCCTCAACACCTAATATACGCATCGGACCGTATCAGCAAAATCCACCACAAAAACCACAAGAAGAAGATATGCAACAAGAAGATACGCCACGAGATATGCAACGCCAACCGCAGCAACGAAACAGATGCAACTCAGAAGGCACAAATCGTGACAACAATAATGATTTCACCCTACCTAGATCGTTCTTTGGAGACGAACTAACAGATATCTGCGAGAAGGAAGAGCTGTGGTTGGAATGGACAGACGAAGATTTCTTCAGTGAGGATGAAGTCGATGGAGAGGATGACAGCACATATCATTGCGAAGATTGTCGCAAACATACACATCATTTAAAAGTTATAAAGAAGCTACCTCCTCCAGTTATTGCAGGTAAAATAGCAAAAGAAGTACCAGTATTTCAGAAAACAAGTTTGTCTAGTATGTTTTAGAGACTCAAAAAATATATATTTTTACTTTTTTTTAAATGAAGGACTGTTTTTTCCACTAATCCAGAAAAAGTGAAGACAAGAAAAAATAATACATGAATTTAATCATTAAAATGGACCAAATAACTTAACAATTTTCAATGATAAGAGAGATCAAAACATATCCCTTTTTAGCCAAGTTTTTAACTATAATATTCATCTTAAATTGATTTAGCAGCCATTTAAGGTGTGCAAAGTGTGAAAAGTATTATAAATCTTCGTCAGTTGAGTTGAATGCTTGTATTTTGATATTAACTTAATACTAAAATATGGCAGTACATAGTCTTACTTTGAATTCTGTTCATTCTTCAAAATCAAATGGCATGATACACAGACAGTACTATTGAGTTGAGTCTTAAAGTGTAGTAGCAACTAATGATTTGGAGCACAGTTCACCCTCAAATTCGAGACGTCGTGACCCTTGGGATCTGAGAATGTGGGGTGGTCTCGAAGTTCGGTCTCGATTTAAGCGTTAGCTTTTGTGTTTAAAAAGGTTGAAGTCCTATGAAGTGCCTGATAATTTATGAAAATGATCTCAAATTAGAAGGCTTTTCATATTGAAGAGATCATAAATTGGAGGAAGAACTATATAAAAGATTGTAGACAAAATAAAGGTTGCAATCTTTAAATATGGTCAATATAATTTTATATTTTCACAGCCTTAGAAGAAGCCAGTAATTCAGTTAACAAAGGTCTAATGAACTATATTTATAACAACAGAATATACCAGGCAATATCATTATTTACTCTACCATACATTCTACCAATTGAAACTGCTTTAACATACTCAGTAAGGTAAGAGCCGCTCTATTTTTTTTTGTTGGTAAACAACCTACATCAATTTTAGTGGCATTGGTAAACTACTGATAATAAATATTTATGTTGTATTTTTTTCGGCCCAATATTTTCCTCATTACTTTAACTTTATCTATCAATTTAATCCCCCTTTACTTAATCCTTCTTACAAAAATCTTCCCAGTTTCCTTTCCCTTTTTGATTTTAATTTACAGTACTCTCCCATATGGAATTTTGAATAATTCTGAATGGCCTTTACTGTCACAATAAAAATTGTAACCTTGTCCTCAGATTCAATGTCATGTGACATTGTTATTCAATAACCAAGTAAATCACATGTTGTAGTTATTTATCAGGTAGTGATGTTGAAAGGATTTTGAATACAGTGAAAATGATGATTATCAATGCCATATTGAATATTCACAGATAGTTCATTCAATATTGAATAGAAATGCTATCATAGGTGATAATAGTGTCCCTATTACTAATGTAAACACTTCATTGGAAATATGACATACTGTATTGAGCTAGTCACATGCAATACCGTTTATGGGAGGTACAGTAATATAATTAATATTTTGATACTATCCCATAAAGCAACATGCTTTTCAATGAAATTGAAAATATGGTGTAAATTTAATTTTAATTCTATTTTAAAACATTATTTAATATGCCTTTTTATGGGTCACATTTTTTAAAATTTCATTTTTAAAGCACTGTCCAAATTTTATTTGACAAAAAAATATGACAATCTATTGTATATGGTCATGATGACATCACATCATGACCATATACAGTAGGCACATCAGACATGAGTATTGTATTGACATACAACAGTTTTTTGTCAAAGAAAATTTAATAATGTCAACAGAGCTTCAGTGTACGAAACAAACACTTGTTTCACTGACTTCTTCACCCCTTTACTGTATGTCTTTGTTTTGGAGCTTCCATACTCTATTATAGTACTACCATCTATGTACAGTATTACATTCCTTTGATAAATGATTTAAGAATGATAATGATTATGCTTTTAAATTTACGGTCAGTTTTTTTACATAGTACAAAAAGACATAAAAGCAAAATGTGTTGGTCATTGTCAAAATTTTAAAACACTTTGTAAATTTTTTTAATTAACTTTTTCATAATTTCTTAGAATATTTTAAATCCAACAGTGAGAACATATTAAGTTAAACTGTATGCACAAATATTAATTAGCCAGAGTTCACGAGTATATTAACTATGTGCCAGCTAGTTACAGTACTACCGTATTATAAAAATAATGACTGCTCAAGAGGGGAATGATGAAATCTATTGCCCCATGTTGCTGTGGAGATCGTAGCCTACTACTGTATGCTTTCACCACACATTAAAACACCTCAATTGAAATAGTGAAACCTAGAAAGAAGATGAGTTTGTATGTGGTGAATCATTGACATGCAAACAGCGGGGAACACATTCAAATTCCCCAACAGCCTATAGAATAGAGTTAAAAGTCATTACTTGTACAACAAATTAGAGGTGACCCTGGTTGGAAACTGCTCTGATTGGTCAAGGAGGTTTGGTGGATGGATTTCTGGAATGTGCGAGAGCGAGTCATGAATTTGCTACCCCGAAAAATGTGGAACTTTGGTAATTTGGTGGGGGGAAGTGCGTACACCCCTCCCTCCCGCCTGATGTTGTCATAAGTTCTTGGGTTCAGTATTTGGACATGTAGTCTCATGACAATACATGTGACCAATTTACTTCTGTCCAGTGTAGTATTGAAGATGTATTGTGGCATGAAAATTATTAAAAAATATCTTGACAATTTTTTAAGTAACTTTGCTAATTTTTAAGTAACATAAAAATTATCAACTTGAAAATAGTTTAATTTTAGTGTGTTTAAAAAATGTTTACCAAAAAGTGATAGGACCATTTTCCGACACTAAAAGTGTTTTTATTATAGTTTTTTTTTAATAATTATCCACTATAAAAATACACATTCAATAATCGCTATGCTCAAATTTATAACTGGCATGTTTTACCGAAAACTACATGTCCAACTTAAAAATTTCAAAATTAATTTTTATGATTATTTTTTTCATTTTTAGGGGACAATGCATCTGTAATATTAATGAAAAATATTTCCCAATCCAACCTTACATAAGAAAATTATTACTGATTGATTTCCTGCCATTGTGATGGGATCAAAGGTTGGCCAGTGTGTTGTAAATGCACATACTATAGGTTTGTAATAATGATAGTGCAGTATTTTCTAAGAGGCAGTTTATTTAAAGGTCAATGCAAAGGTCAAGTAATATTTACACATTATATCAGTTACTTCCGCCTGTAGAACCAAGATAAATTTGCTTTCCTAAAATAGAAAATATTCAAACCCAAAAATAGAATAAATGAGGACGTGGCTGACATCCATATTTGAACAGTCAATACTTTATGATAATGAAAAATATGAAATAATGGTAGGGATTACAAATCAACCCAGTGAGATTAATCAAGGAGTGTGGGTTATATGGTTCAGCCATACCCCTTTACATACCTACTCCTTGATAAAGCAAGACACCAGAACAATTGGTAATTGGTTCTGTCTGAGGGTATTGGCTTGGGGTGGGAATGTAAATAAACTAGATAGGGATAGGATAGATAGACTGGTGAGGAGGCAGGGAGGATGGTTGGGTATCGGTTGCCCGTGGTGGACACAGTCTACCACGAACAGTTGAGCAAGAAGTTCTGTTCGATATTCGATTCACCCACTTCATTCAGATATTGCCAACTGTTACACTGAATGTAGTGGTAGACTGAGGCCACCATGGGTCTCTATAGAATGCCATCATCACTCCTAACCCCCCCAGAGGAATTAGGGACTTCAGTAGTAAACATCAGAGGTAGAGGGTTTTCAATGTGGGTGGCCAGTATTTATTAATAACAAGTTAATACAAATATATCATAACTTATTATTATTATTATTATTGTTATCATTATTATTAATAGTTTATTATTAATGATATTATTATTATTATTATTATTATTAGTTAATTGTCTTATGCTTTTTCACATTGTTGTATCCAGCCATGAAATTTCCCCGTAGTGGGATAAATAAAGTATCCTTGTTGCAGTTGTAATTCTTATACTGTCTACCTTCACCTCAAAATTGTTATTTTAGAAGCCACAGTTGAAATTAAAGTATTAGATTTATGCTTGAAATTTGATATGGTTGCTTACTCCACACATACCAGTAATCATTTTCATTTTCCACTACCAGAATGAACTAAGTCGATTAGGATTGATTTAAAAATTTAATTGATGTAGTGTGTATCCAGGAGAGTGAGTTATTTTTAGCTTACCTTAAATGAAGATATGGATAGGATAGCATGTACAGATGAGGCATGCTATCCCAAAACAGCAGACTGTCCCAGAATATGTTAATAAGACTGCTGGAGCGGATGCAGAATTTGGTGGTAAGGGATGCCTGAGAGTCCATACCACCTCAGCCTCACCATGGTTGTTGCTGATCAGGGGAGAAAATGTTGAGAATATGGACCTCTGGTGTCTGAAAATTGCACTCTCTTACCTCAAAAATATTACCGGTAATTCATATCAACAATACAATACAGATTCTTCTTAATACAATTTAGGGGTGTACGATCGCACCGTTTGCACCCCCCTCCCCCTGCATTCACCCCAGAGACTGTGACATTTACTTGTAATACACAATCTCTGCTGGTAGGGATCATGTTGTATACTTTAATCAAATGCACTGCTGGGTTCTGTTTACTCTCTTTTTATGCTGAACTTGGTCGCCTTCTTCGCCAACTGAATAACAGCAACAGTCATGTGTTGACGCCCTCTCTGTTAAACAATTCACCAAATAACAGTGGGTACTAATTGTCTACCGAGAACTATTATAAGGTGGTCATGTAAAAGTATAGGAAAAGGCTATTGGGCAGCAAATCTAGGAGCCTGGGCCTAACAAGTCATGAAAACCTCATTCATTCTCTTTTGGAGAATTGGCAAACCATTCTAACAATGTTTTCAAGTTAAATCCAAGTGTGACCCTTGGACACTGATTATGCCCATTGGAGCTCATCACCGTAATTCATATCACTGCACATCTGAAATATTAATTAAAGGTTCTCTGTATTAAGTACAGACAAAACATCATGCTGGCACTACAGTGCCTACGATGATGCAACAGTATTGTTAATGCATTGTTGTATTCAAATATTGGCAGACTTTTAAAGTTGATGGTTCCTTTATTGTACCTACTCCAGATGTTGCATAATCAATGCTATTGTGACACAATAGCATTTCAGACAGATTGCATTTAGCCAATTTGTAAAAACATCTAAGTGTTGATATAAAATGCAAGGTTTCTTTACAATGGCAAAAGTATTTTGAATTCCTAAAAGATAAAACAATACTATTATTCTAATTTTGTATTCCCCATGTAAATTTTAAACCATTGTATTGTATTGAAGTGTTTTTTCCTTAAAAATAAATTTGATAAACTGAATCTGTTCTTGTAGATTTGCCAAGTGGCTACCATACCTCCCAGCTGATTCGCAGTGGTTTTTATGCGGCCTAGGAAGTCTTATTAAATACATCATAGGTAACTTAAATTCTGGAAGGCATGAATTTAGTGCAAGGTAAGCTATATGATCCAGCCAAATGTGGTCGAAAATATTGTCATTAGGAATAAACAATATATAGAGCTGCAATTACAAGTTAGGGAAATCAGTCCAGTTGTAGCACCAGCAGGTAGAATTTGCCCTCCCCCTCTCCATAAATTGCTAATCCAAATTACGTTGTTCTGATTGCTAATCTCTATTGTAGTCTAAAAGCACAATTTGGGTCATTCTAAGCCATAAAAACTCTCCCCTGCAAGACCCTTCCTGAGATTTTTATTTCAGGACCCTGACTGAGGCTCTAGTCAGCCCCTGGTTCGGACCCTCCTGTCGAATATGTTGGATAACCTGTCAGCAAATTTCTGGAGCCACCGCTGAGTCAGCCATGCATGATATTGACGGGATGTTGACATTTTCAAAAACCATTCATATTATGCACTACTTTTACTGTAGTAAATGAGTGTTTTTATTTAGTCATTTAACATGAATCTTAATATTTTCAGATTTTCATGTCAATTAGCAGTAACCGAAGACCTCCTCAAACCATTGGCAGGTTACCCTGTGACCTCTGTTGGTCATGCATCAGCAATTACAGACTGTGACACCTGCAGTATTGAAGCATTGGACATTGCAACATCTCCGAAGAAGCGCCATAATTTCAATTTCCGCTTTGCAATGGAAATGACATCAGATTTACCCGATTCCGTCCTCGAATCATTTGACATGTGTGAAGACGTTTTCACGCCATCGCATCCATTACCTACCTCACACATAAACGAACCGTGTAGCGTTGCATGTGATACGTTTGATTACACATTGAGGATGACAGACGAGATGGACAGTAGTGCTGCAAATCATTACCTTCATGTTACGCAGACAGTAAATCATGAAACCAATGAGAGCCACGTCAGCGTACAAGAGGTTTAATGAAATAAATTTGAACAATAAAGTACAATGTGCGCAGTTATCTGATTGGTCAGTGAATATTTGAATGCTCTAGTTGTTATTTACTTTGATCCATGCAAATCCATTGCAACTTACTAAGTTGCAATGGATTTATTAGGGAGGTTTCGCATGCGAACACATACGGTTAGTGTGATGAATAGGTCATTATTTATAACATACGCCGGGTGCTATCCGCTAACTGTGTGGATGACACGCATATCTCGCTCACTACACATACATGAAAAATGTGTATCAAAATTATGAATTTCTAGTACGATCTTCGTTTTTTTTTTGTTTTTTTTTTCACATTTTACAGTAAGTTTAAAAAAATTAATTTATCTTTAATATATACGTGCCATTTTGTGACTTTTAAAGACAGCAAGTTACGATAAGATGCCTCTCATTTTGGAGTATTAAAAAATGTTTGGTGTTTGGTGGTGTTGGGATTTTCCTGTAGGCCTTGGCCTAGCTTACAGTAGCCAGGCATTTTTGGGTCACAAAATATCCAACTCATCTGAGCAAAAATGGAAGAATTATTATTCGGCTACCACTTCCAATTTCCAAAACCTTACATACCAACACTTTAGGACATGCCAAAATTTGATTTTGAGAAGCATGATGAGAGAAGAAAACAGAATAACTAGCCCCTAGGCTAGGCCAAGGGCCCAACGCTTAAAATTTGCTGTCATTGCGAAAACCACAGCATGGCTACAAACCGTTGCGTACACATATTCGTTCGCTTGTGAACCTTTTTATTATCTATCTTATATAGTGTGAACTCAAGTCCAATATTGTTTAAAACTTAATATTCATAAAATGAAGTGTAGAATATGGTACTTGCGGAGAAATCAATTTATTTGGATATGTTATTTTGAATCAAAATCTATAGACTTGAAATTTCGAAGTGTTCTATACCTCACCTGAGAAGACTGAGGAAAGCAGCTGTTTAAATATATTATTAAGGTCTTAGCTGTATTTTTTAAGTAAATTTAAGTTTAAAGGCAATAATGTTTAGAGTGTTATGATGCTGTTCTATTTGATGAATTATTGATTTATTTTTGTATTATTTATTTATGAATATTTAATTTATAATATCTGATAAAAGGTGATCATTCCAGAATTAATGCAGGTATGTTATGTTTTATTTTGTGATTATTTTTTTAAAATATTCTTCAGTAAATAAGAATGAAAGATAATATTAGTATTATATTTTAAAGAATAATAATGAATGATGAATAATACTAACATTATTATCGTTATAATAAACACACACCAGTAATTGGAGAATGCCAAATTTACTGTAAGACTTAATTAAGTTATTAAAGGTAAAGCAACAACTGAACCCATTCAAGCATGGTATTGATCTGATTATGCAAATTAGTATCAGGTCTTATGCAACATTACATGTATCCATATAAATAATCCATACTTTGAAATGGTAGCAATTGTATAATATTTTAGGGCTGTTAATTTAATTTTTTAACAGTTGAAAACCAATGCAAACAAAGATTTTTTTTTTTCATGGCAATATACAGTAGTTTATTTGGACGAATTATAGATACTGTGCTGGGCTTTTGTGGGTCTATTTTTGATGTGATGGTATTTAAAGAAAATGCAGCTATCAGGGGCCCTGCAGACCACCTCACGCGAGCGCATAGGCGTTACACCACTGATGAAGCTGCTTAACATAATCATTGCAATTTCAAACATTGTGTCATAAGCTAACATATTTGAGCAATAACAAAGTTCATTATTGCATAAATACGTTGTATATTAGCTATAAAATTAGAACAAGAAAATATTTTTCTGGCCAGATGACTAATGTATAAGTACATGGCCCCGGGGCAGCAAAGCGTGGGAGCTTTCAAAATTTTTTTTTTTCCAAATACACCTTATTATTTTCAAAGAATTGTTTTGTCCTGGGGCACTGGCGTGAACTGAATTATTTTGGTCTGCGTCTCGTTAGCAGTTGATAACTTATTACATTTCATCAAAGAGTATGAATTGTAAGAGGTCCGACTGCCTAGATTTTTTATTCACACAATGAAACGTAAAAAAGTACTATCACAAGGTACTGTTCAAAACTTGTGAAGGAGTTGGACCTCATTCAGTTCTATACTTTGATTTCATGCTTTTAAATAAGCAATTTAGTGTTTGAAATGAATACTTATTATGGTATTTAATACTGTAAATTTACAAAGAAAGGAACATGATATATATTGTATAAAAGGAAATTGTATTTTTTGTGAACATTTCACTTAAAGTGCACAAAAAAGTTGTACATGTTATGTTTGTGAAACACTTTATATTATAGCATTTATTGTTATACATAGTAGCTAAACAAAATTTTATGCTTTTCCCCTTTAAGCACAAATATTGATACCTCATATATAACATAATTTAATGTTAACTAAGTATTATAAATATTTTGTAAGTGCAATTTAGTTTGCAATTTTTAGAGATGCAGCATTTGCAGCACAGTTAAGAGGTACATACAGATTATTAACCCTTTCCCATCTGCGCTACTACCAGAGCGTGAAACTGTAGATGATTTGTGGCAAAGACAAGCCAAACCAGTCACTCGTCGCAAATCATGTTTCAGAGAAAATGGCTAAAACATGCCGGAATGTCAAATTTTTGAAAATATATTTTATTGCACGAAACTTACCTTTACATATCTACACATCATTCTATGCTGTTATTTTCCCCATTTTCAATGTTAAAACAATACTTTTTAAGGATTTAAAGATAGTTTCTGCGTGAGAAATGCCTGAAATCATAAACTTTGACGGTTAATTTCTCATATATTGTTCTTTAAACAGCTGTGTGGTTAAACGCTTGTAACTTCATAAGGAAATGTCCGATTTGAATGATTTTTTTTACCATTTTATAGCTATTATTTTACTCTCTAACACTGTATCAATAACTCAAAATCGATTTTTGCGACGAGTGACTGGTTTGGCTTGTCTTTGACACATTTTCACTTTACCAACATCTGTCATGCTCTTAAACTGGCATAGAAATTGTATTTTTAATATGATCTCTGACACAATCATTCTGAAAGCTAATTACAGTAGAACCCCTATTAATGGGATAACTTCAGGACAAAAAAAGTGTTCACTTAATGAGTGTTCCCTGAATAGGGGTTGGCCATAGTGTTAAAAGATATTATAGACAATACTGTATGTACATTGTTTGGTTGGAACTTTGGTAGAGGGCAGCATTGTTTGATCTGTAACTTTCATTTCTCGTGTATTTATTTCACTAAACGCCATAATCATAAATTTATTGCATATTATATAAATACCATGTATTGTTCATAATATAATTCATGTAAATGAACACATAGTATTTTTGTATCTATGTTGGTCTATGTAAATATATATATAGAATGTATAGGACTAAAGTTAAATATTATGCAAACCCTAATGCACAATTAACCCATATTGTATATACACTGTACAGTAATGTCACTGATACCTCGTAAACTGACCAAATAGGCTGTGAATATGGTTGTATGCTCTATAAATAAATGCTGTAGGAAATGATATCTACACTTTACCAATGCAGCTACTGGATGAAATTTATATATACATTACGGCAATTTTAATATTTGTGAATATTTGTTTCCGATGCAGCTAACAACTGATTTTCTTTTTAAATAACTTCTGTATCATAGTGAATAAATATTAGAAAATTTATTTTGGATTTTGTGCACTCATTTCTTGAATTTTGACATCAAATTCATTTTTAGATTGGTCTTCTACATCGCTCTTAGTCTCGCTTACGACCTGGCCCTTGATCCTGCTAATATCACCCCTTCAGACATTGAGGCAGCTCTTAAATTTTAAGTTTACTTAATTCAACTTGATTGTTGAAGATGGCATTTCTTTTTTGTTAAGTTAATTTTTATTATGTGATTGTGAACTTGCGATTGCAGATAAATGCCCTTGATGACTCAAGTAGCATTAAATCTTGAATCTTGAATCCAAATCTTTTAACAGTGCGCCAGGTTAACATGTATTTCATCCAAAACACAAGTAGAGCACTGGCAGTAAGGAACCAGGAACTGAAAGAATCCCGATAGTTCAGCACCCACACTTTTCTACCACTATTTGTGAGCTGCCTCTATTTCTGCCTCTTGTGCTAAAAACCCCGGTTCAAATCCAGTGTTGGGTTTTAATTAGGGTCTGATCGCTTGGCTTTTCGAATAACCCTCATATTGAGAGTTAGGCAGGTTAAACTCCCCAAGGACCCAGCCCAAATTTTTGATTCGCAATTAAAATGAGAACAAAGAATTATATTATTATATTACAGTATATTATTACTTTATTTAAGCCAAGAAAGCTATGGTACCAGACCCTCCTGCATTCATTTAGTCGTATATAGTCTCTATAGATTCCCAGAGCTAACTACAGGGGGAATTTTCAGTTGCAGGGTAACTTGAGTATTATTTTTTCCTGATCCAATACTGAGGAGTTTATTATACTGGCAGAGTATATTAACCGCTGCCAGAACTTCCGATGGAAATAAGCCAATTTTTGGTTTTAACTGCACATGTGCCTATCCAGTGGCATCCAAGATTAATCGACATAAACCTATGTTGTGTGTATGTTATGTCGATTGACCTTGAGAGGAGCATATGCAATTCAAACTAAGAGATTGCCTTATTAATAGTTTATTAGCAGGGCACACATTGTGTCATACCACTGCCTTACTGTACGACGTCAGCCAAAGAATCCATATACCCTCTACTGAATTCTTAAAGGATGTGAGGCTCTCTACCGATTGTCCATAAAAACGATCCACTGTTTGCAACTTGTCCTATTACTTTCTTCAAGGAATCGCTGACAACAGTGTCAGCTTTGTGTATCATTCTAACAAATTCCAGGAAAAGTATGAAATATGTACTCAAAACACAAAGATATGTACATTTTGTATATATTAACACTAAACATATATCCAAACAAAAATCTAAATTAAACATGAATTTCAAAATATTTGGGAACTATACATAGTATCATTTTTTATTGTTGATATTTTTAGTTTAGTTCTAGTTTTTTCCTTTTTGTAAACCCTGAGATAAAATTGAAAATGTGTCGCCATAGAATTATTTTCAATCTACTCAAATATGTTGGTATAAAATCCAAAGGTGTCCATTCAGTATCCATAAAAAACAATCTTAAAATCAAGGTTATTTATACTATAGTAAACTAAGGAAAAAAAACCATGCTTATTTGTTTTTCTTTAACTGTTGGTGTAATAATTTATTATGATGATCCAAGTGGGCGCATTCTTTTTCTGGAACTTTAAGGCTGTTTAAGGGTCTAGTTTCGGACAATCTTGGCTCAGGAAATTCCTTGGTTGTACCATTCCTTTTTGTTTATCACTGTTGAAAAATAAATGAGGCAGGAATTAGTATTTGTGATAAATCAGATTGCTCATCAATAGGCTATACATACTAGGAATGCCATCCCAAAACCAGCGTATTGGTGCTAAATGTTAAACAGATTAATTAGCATTGTGGCAGTATTGTATACTTCAATACAGAGAAGCATTAATACTAGTTTTACTCATAACTTTAGCAACACAACGACGATTCCAGTAAAAGACCCATCATTTTAAAGCTTATAATGTGGAGAACATGAATATACTAAAGTCAATTTTCTTGTTTTGGTCACCGAAGCTGGTTTTGGCATGGCAAGCCCCATACAGTGAAATACACTAATCAAGGAGATTTGGAAATCCAAGTACAGGTCTCCCTCCAATTAAAGACCACTTTTGGGAACAAGGTTTTCATGGTCTTTTGCAGCTTTGGTCTGTAATTAGAATAATAAAAATAAAAGACGTTTGTTAATTTGGGACCACAGAAAAATGGTCTTTAATTGGAGGAGTCTTTCATTACAGGGAGACCTACAGTGTATATACAATCATCTTAATAATATGTCTCTCCACTCAGATATTATCTAATAATAATCATCGTAATTTATAACGTCAACATAAACGTACACATGATACTGCAGGTATGTGTAGACACTCTCGGTGTGTTCTTCGGGGATCTCTCCGTCAATCTGTGCTAGGTAGGTGTACAATACCTTGAAGCATTCAAAAGGAATCCGGGCAGCGCCACCTTCAGGGTCCTTCGTTAAGATCTCACAAATGGTTTTCATGGCTATTGTAATATTCTGCGGAGTTTATAAAATCCAGATTATAATCCAGCCAGTAACAAAATGAAAGTAGAATTTTTTATTTATGCTCCACATTAAATGTCATCAGTCTGTTTTTATAGCAATTTTTTCATATCCATCCTTTAAAAGTTATTGATTTTCATGATTTTATTTTTCTACAAGTCTTAAAATTGCTACTATAATATCCTCAATACAATGATAATGAGCAATAAAAATATGTAATCTAATGAAATTGGAAAAGATATCAAATTTCTAGATGCACAAGTAATTCCAATATATGAGTCACTTAAGATTAATATGACAATGAAAACTGAATTGTTTGCTGCAGTGAACTTGTTAACTTTTAGGACTTTCTCTAAAGCTTTGTCTACACTATCAAATTTTCTTAGACAAAAAACTGTTGAATGCCCATATATAGTCATATTACGGCATGTCATATGTTTTTTTTCAAATAAAAGTTGATAGACTGGGCAGGGCTTTAGTTATACATCTGATGATTTGTACTTACACCTCCTAATGCTGAGCAAGCCAGTGCAAAGAACTTCAACCACTCGATCTCCTCACCAAAGCTACCTAACTGAATTAGGCTGTAGAGTTTCTCTTTGGGTAAACACATATCCTTCCATTTCTTTTCAAGTTCCGTCAGAGTGCACATCTTCTGAGGGCCAAGCTTGAGGATGAAATTACGTAGAAATATATCAATAGAAGCTATCTACAGAATGGCAACAATACAGTTACATATACAAAAACCATGAATTTAAGGGGATGTGTTAGTTTTCTGGAGAAGTTTTCTTGTTTTACTGGTGTGCAGGAGATTATGTTGATTTCTGTGACACTCGCACGACTCTACACAAGCCTGGATAAACGCACGACTTAAGGTCATAAAATCTTTTCTGAAAAGTAAAATAGCGATGGAATTGCAGCTGGGGCCCCAAAGACTTCTTGGTGTTGCAAATTTTAATTCACCGTGCACAACTTCAATGTACTGAAATTTGTTAACCAATGTCAATAAATGTAATCAACATTAAATTATACCTGTCGATTTAACACTGAGAGGATTCCAGGCGTTAGGCCTGTGTCTGTCTTCTGTGTTGCTACGGGCATCTCAAGTCTCTCCTTAACAGGCGGCGTCTCACCATTCGACAGAGCGTTGAAGTATCTAAAGAGGAAAAGAAAATTTGAAGACAGTTGTAATGTATTATTATTATGTGATTGAAATAATTTTGTCCTTAAATAAATTCTCTGCAAACATAACTTTATTTCAGGCTTAGGGAAGCAAGTTATTTTCATTCAGCATCATCATATAAACAAAGTACAGTATTAGACCATAAATTTATCAAGTAATTAAAATTAAATTAGAACCTTCAATGTCATCCCCAGGAGTTTGTGCATATTAATGAGTCCAAATTTATTCTTTTATATCATGCAAATGTTTAAAATATAAATATCTTGAACTATACAAAACATTAAAAATATTACATCAATCATGTTTCTCTAGTTGTCTATCATCAGATATTTTTACTGGGTCACTGGAATATATAATAGCCACACCACAGCACTAACTGATGTGTAACAGACACAAACATATACTTTTTATTTTTTTATTTTTTTTTTAAATATTGGACTATTTATAATTAAATGTACAGTACTACGTGCAAGAGATGAAAAATAATACAGTAAACATACGCTGATGACCACTGCAGGACATCAGTGGGTTGTGTCCTGATTGCAGCTTTGGTGAACTGTTTTAAGATATCAGGAAGCTCAGGGGGTATGTTGATTTGCTGAGAGCAGTACATTGGGGCATCTTCCCCAACCGCAGGCATCCTGTATTAAACCGAGCATAAACACAAGTTGTAATTACAATGTCAATATAGGCTTTTAAATCGAATGAAATGTGCATTATATAGAACAATTAAACATTTTTCACAAACTACACAATTTTACAATACATACAACAATCAACTGGTTACCCAACCGTACTGTAAAGATAAAGTTAGTATGTTTTATAACAGTCGTCCTCTAAAATCAACAAAGAATGATTTGGTTTGAACTAAGAAGAGGAGGAACCTATTATTAGTATTACCCACGGCAGTGGCGCTGTTGTAATCTCACTAAAAATACACCACTGACACGAGAGCCTTCTTACCACTAGGCCTAATCCTAGGCCCTATGCCAGGAGGGGTGGCCATAAAAATGCGTAGGGCCAAAATGAATGTTTAAACACTGAGGGCGCACCCACACTAATTCTCTCTCTAGGCCTAGGCCTAGCCTTGTCTGTCTGTAGCAACCACCCATCCATAGCAAATATATTGATCAAATTATTCATGCACGGCATTAGCGTGTGTAATTCGAATGAACTCTTTAAGTCTAGCTTGCACTTTATCAATACCAATTTAGTACGCCTATCAATTACTCCTGAGTCCTATAGTTGCCAGGCCTAGCCTAGCCAGCCAGACTAGGCCTAGCCTAGGCCCCCCTAACTCAGTCTCTGCTGCTCAGTCTGCTGCAGGTGCAGCTCATAGAATATTCTATCTCATCAGGCCTGTGAAAATGTCATGTTTAAATTATATATCAATGATCCATATATTGCACTTCTACTTACCTATAATATGTAGTGAAGAATATGTAGAGTATATGAAGTGCCTTATTTCAATTTACAAAAATGTTGTTAGAATCCAATCACACTACTCTGACAGTTTCCGCTGTTGTTTTGGTTGTTGCATAGTAGCGTAAATTGCGCACTCTGTATGCGCAGATCATTTTTTAAAGACGCCCTCTCTGGGATGATAAGTTGTCCACAAAGAAAACAATAAGATCTCTGGTTTTCCAAGAGCGCAGCTACTTACTGATTGGTTACTGTATAATATATTTTTTTTCCCTTCATTTTGCTATTGTAGGCATGTAAACAATTTATTGAATATATTTATTGAATATTAATTAGATGCATATGATTCTTTGTCATATAATGATTCTATGTTGTAACATATTTTTGTGTAAGACATAAAAAAAAACCGGTCAAAATTACAGCACAGCTCTTTTCGCTCTCGTGTACCGTCGTTGTTTGTAGGCCCGTACCATCAAGGTTATGCACAGAACTGAAACAAAAATGATGTCAAATAAACTGATAGATTGAGTGAGTGCCAACGAGTTAGTGAATGTGTGATTTACTGATTGATATAAAATTCTGATCAATAGCTTTAGTTTTTATGTTCAATGTGTTATATACTATCGGTATTCGAAATTGCCAAAAAAAATCACCTACTTAGGAAGATGTTAATCTAATTTAAATAATCATCACCATCATTGCCGTCATGTCGTCGTCATTATTATCGGATTTCCTAGCAGTAGCAGGAAAAGCCATTGCTTTTGTTCGATTTTTTTTCTCCGTATATTTTCCCCTATCTTGTTGCACATGACAAGGTTTTTTCTCCCTGGCACTTCGGTCGCTTTCCATGATCGGATCCTTTCCAAACTTTGTCCAAACCTAGACTAGCCTATATACTAAAGATGTACATAGTAAAAGGTAGTGACAATCCCGAGTGAAGTCACTTATTTGCATAACTCTTCCTATTATTATATTTTTCTTTTATGTTGTGTTAGTCGTGTGTTTTGCTTCTGTTAATTGTTTCGACAATACAATTGTGACACTCGTAATTTCTGTTTATGGACCTGACGTATTACATTCTGTCTTGAGTTTTTCCCTGAGCTTGGAGAATTGGCGTGCGCTTAATTCACAACCAAAAGGAAAAGGCGCAATATAAATGCTCGTACCAGTACCAGAGTGGGATGTGGATGTTAGGACAATTTAAAGCGATTTAATATAAAGGCAAACACTCTACTCCAGATATTTTAAAAACGGATAATCTGATGTAAATAAAACTTTCAGGAAAATTCAAGCAAGTTACAAGAAAGATTATTTTGTTTTGGTGACGATCCAGTTTTGGGTGTAAATGTGAATTTATGACGTCCCAGACCTAGATATCTCAAAAAAACGTATTAATAGATCGAAATAAAAATTTCTATATTATTTTGTCATCCAATAAACCAATGAATAAATGTTGGTGACGAACAGAAGTATGGTTGATAATGACCTTTAAAATGATAACGTCCTATCTTAGACCAGATTATACCAAAAACTGACCAACTGAACTGAATGAATCTTTTTGGAAAATTTAACCAAGTTAAGGAAGAAATTGTTTAAATGTTGGTGACGATCTATATAGGTGTGAAGTTGAGAGTCATTTTAAGTGCATAACGTCCAAGCCCCAATATCTCAAAAACTGACCACTGGATCAAAATAAAACTCTGCAGAATGGTTTGTTATGGTCCCATAAATAAATGATTAAATTTTGTTGGCGATCTACAGTATGATATGGACATGAGGGCCTTTTAACGGTAGACGTCCCAGACCAGATATCAAACAAAAATGATTATCTGATCGAATTGAAACTTTCTTGAAACTTTGACCATGTTACAAGGAAGGAAATGTTAAATCTCAGTGACGATTCAGATTCGGGTGTAAATGCCAGGGTATCATTTAAATTGCTAAGGTCCCAGACATAAATATCTCTTTAAAAAATGTATAAATGGATCTATTGAAACTCTTCAGAATATTTTTTTATGGTTCAATGAAGAAATGAATAAATTTGGTGACGACCTGGAGTAGGGTGTGAATGTGAGGACCATCCTAGCTAACAATATTACGTTATAAGAATGTTATAATAACGTAATTAGGTTACGTAGGCTACCTATAACCTAATTTCACAACTTCACAACGTTTGAACGTTCTTACAATGTTGTGTAAACGTTATTTTGTGACATACCAAACCACAACATTTGATGGGATTTAAAGAATGTTATTGGATGATTAAATTATATAAACGCAATTGGTGTAATTTTAAAGCGTTAAACGCAATATTACTGTGATGCATGGACAATTTTCGCTTTCAATCACTGAATCGCTATGGCAACTAAAAATGCGTCTCCATATCGCCCTTGATATTACCATTGCAGCTATAGTTCAAGTCGTACTAACGTCGAGTTAGTTTCCCAATTTATTCTTTCTTTATTTTTGTATTAGGCCTATTTAGCAGTCACAGTTCGAGTTTCCCTGACGTCGAGTTGGTTTTCATGTGTTTAACTTCATAATTTTTTGTATTATTTCATTTTTTGTTTGATATTGTATCATTTATTAATATTAATATCATCATCATACAAATAATTTCATATTATATACCATATTTTAATTATAAAGCGAGTCACGTGAACGAATAATTATGGAAACAGTGCTCATGATTACTGGCAGCGTATTAGGCCTAGGCCAATCAATAATAAATAATACAGCAAGCCTAAACTCAAATCTAAAAGGCCTTCCTCACTACTATGTCACCTACTTACCCTACTGTCAGTACTAAAGTTTCATTTTCATAAATTAGGGGGCCTATTTCGATCATGGTTGGGCCGTGAAGATTACGCAACAACCATAGGGCACAAAATTATCAGAATAGATAGGCCTGTATAGACCACTGTAATGGCACATAGGGGCCGGAGGCCCGACTGAAACATTTTTTTATTAAATTTTATTAATTGTTTTCTTATTTCAATACACGGCATTGTTTGTATTGAATTTAAATATTGTAGTGGCAAAATGGAGGAAAATGGGGGCACCCGCATCCGTGCCCCATTGGATCCGTCCATTATGCATAGAATTTCAGTACTGATTACTTCAATATTTAAGTTTCCAGCACTCAATAGCTCAACAACTGAATCTCGAGATAAATGTGAGCTTCGTAAAACTTCTGATAGAAACCCAATGACTACTCAACGTTGCTCTATAACCAAGTGTGGTTACTATTGGAATGATAGAACTATACACAAAAGGCCTACACATGACATTAAAATAAAACATTATTTTTTGTTGCTTTAAACGATCTTAATTCGTCTTTTTAAACTTAAGTATAGTACGTAGCTTTGGGGTTACATTTTGTTCTGTGACGAATTCCCGGCCCTTTGCTGATATCGATAACGATGACATAGCGACCGTTATGATCTGAGAATATGACGTAGGCTACAGTAAACGTTGTTTAAAGATGTCAGATGTTGCTACAACGTCTGTTATTTGTTTTGAGTCTATTAAGAAAACTAGTAATACTTTACATGACAGTAATGCAGTTGCATTTTTCGTGGGTGGTACTTTTTTTCTTCAATAGTACGGGTTTTGGGTTTGCTAACCCCTTTCTAATATTATACTCTTATTGCAACCCATCTTCATATTCGCCAAGGGTTTCAATCAGAGCTTTTAGGCTATACGGAAACCTACAACTATAAAGAGACATTGTAGTGAAACTGGGATCCCGATGTCATTCGATGAAATAAATTTCTTATGTGTACAAATTCCAGTAAAATGTGCGTAAATAGAAGCTGTAGTCTGGTAAACACTCGCAAGTTAGACAACCCTTGCTGTTACGCATTCGACCGTACGGACAAAAGGGTGGCACATCTCCGCAGTCCTCTTCGGAACATTCGTCAAAGCCTACATTATCTGTCAACAAATAACATATGAAACATGAAATACCAATGCTACGGACGATAAATTCATTTTATAACGCCCAACTCACAAGACAAATTGGATGGGTGAAGCAGTGCCGTATCTACACTGGTGGGTGGGCTTCGGGGTGGCACTCTAATTCCTTCTGTAAATTTGTTAAACAAAACAAAAATACATCAAATATTAAAAATCACATTATGCCGCCTAATTTTTATACATATTGTCCCCTAACTAAATCCTTGATCCACCTAATTCTTTTGGACCCCCGGATTAACCTCCCTCACACAACGTCGATCATTTTTGCCTCTGAAGTAGGAGAACATATGTTTGTATAGTAGTCATATGACAAAAAATGAAATTAAAAAGCTTAGTCTTTTTTCGTTTTGAATATAATAATATAAAAACAACAACAAACACAACAAAATTGAAACTTACAACAGTAGACACACGCCCATCGTCTCCTGCCACCAGCACAGAAACTGTCATGGAAAAATATAGATATATACAATGTGATTTTGAACATTTAATGGAATTCATCACTATGTCCGTTGTCGTAACTGCTATCATTACCACCATGATGCATAATTGTCATTATCCTATTTCTATAACTTCTTTTTAACTTTATCAAGACACTATTACTCTTAATAACCCTTTTTATACCGATGAATATTAGTGAGTCGTTCATGAATACTCGTCGGCTCGCCGTTGCAATAGCAATTTTTCTGGGGGAAAACTCGTGGGGGAGGCATGGATATGATGGAGAAGAAGTCGGGGTGAGGCCATTTAATGCCCTTGTTACATTGCCACCAGTTTAGTAACACAACAATTAAACAAACATCGTGGTGACATAAACTTGGGTATTAATGTGAACCATTTTTGTTTTTGCATAATGCGCTATAAAACAATATTGTTATGAATATTCTGATTGACATATCTAATGTCAAACGCTATAAAAATGGAGTTATGGAAATTCGAAATTGTCACCTGCATGCAAAATAATGTATAAAACTTACCAGGGTTGGCCGCATTTTCCTATTGTTACTTCGCTGTATTTATACCAATTTTTTCCAGACTTGCACGACGTTTGTTGACCTGACAAACACAAAAGAGTTCGTTATTAACAATAAGGAATAGCCCGCCATCTAGCGATCAAAGCAAGTTTTTATAAATCCCTGTGGAAGTAATTATATTGTCAATTGATATACGAATGAAATGACTCTAACCTAGATTATGATCATGATCTAGTTTCAAAATTCATAAGAATTGTGTCATACAGTAGGCCTACTGTATATTCTAATAAAGTGGCTCTATTTAAAGACAATAAAAATGGAATATCCAAACGTACACGTCATTAAAATTTAAAACAGAAAAGGTATCGAAGGTAAATTCGACGATAAATTTATGAAAGTATTCAAATGTAAGTAGGTTAATACCAATGCCACAAGTTCCGTCGTGGATTTGATATATAAATCTGGATTCGCACTTTCGGAAAGCCTCCATTTCGCACTTGTTCCTATAACTTGCTGAATTGCTCGCGCATACTGGTTTCCACTTTTTAGTACAGTTATTTTCTTTCATATATTCTTTCATACATGCTGAAAAAAGAAAGACACTTTTATTACTATTAGACATTGCAAACACAGTTCGCCCTCCAATTTCAGACCACCTAAACATTTTGGGATAGTCTCAGTGTTCGGTTTTCAATTCGAGGGTTAGCTTTGAGTTAAAAGATTGAAGATTGTTATTTGGTTCTTTGGAGTCTAAGCTGAACAAAAACGATATTTAGCAATTTGGCTAATTCAGTATGAAAATAATTAGCCAAGTTTGATTAGCCAAAACAAAAGAATATAAGGAATTAAGCATTAATTACATTAGCTTTTTGGCTAATTTTGAATGAAAATATTTAGCCAAATCCAGCTTTTATTAGGATTTGACTATATGGCTAATGACAGCTTAAACACTGGTTCTTTAAAAGGGGGTTTCGAATTAGAGGGGTCTCAAATTGGAGGATGACTGTAATACTGAGAACATATTACGTCAGAAACGGTTGAGTTTAGTTCAACATCGGCACGAATTATAAGACAATTTTCAGATCAAAGTAATCTTCATTTTGATAGGCTTCTGTCATATGTTGAATGATTGATTTTAGTTTATACGGTGTTAAATCTACCTGGTGGTGTCAAGGAAGGACGTAGCACGTCTTGTGAACTCACTGGCCCCAGTCAGGTTCCTTGACTTCAAGTGGCCCTGGGATTAATCAGTATATTTCCAGAACTATGGACCTCTGTGTTGAAGGGTTCTCTTAATGAGCATGGAGTGTAAAAAAAATATCAAAGTCAACGCCGAATTCTTATTTTAAACCCTGCTCAGCTGTAAATTGTCCGGCGTTCAACGAGTCATGTTACATGAATGGCATGTCATCTCCAGGTTCCGATGTCACACTGGACTTTACTATAATATCCATTACAATATCATATCACGTATGGAGAGAATAATGGTTACTGACACGTCCACTCATCACCTTGAGGCCGTAATACGCCCATTTCTCTCACAAAATATCTTGCATGTTATAGCATCAAAGCAATCATGTTGGGGCAATTTTATTAGCAAAGTTAATTGTAGTCAGGGGTGCGGTGGTGGCAGGATTTGCCGACGGCAGGATGCCAGACGTCCCCAACAAGGAGGGGGGTGGTGGGTGCGATTTTTTTTGTCCCCAACCAGGACTGCCTACAACGGCCCCATGGCGTCACTTTTGGTTGCCTAGTCTATTTAGACTTGGACTTGCTGCGTTTCGTGTCAATTTCATAAGTCATGTTGTGAATTCACTAGTCGATGATAATTTCTTGTCTGCCAAACGTATTGAAATGACATCATCACCATGCATCATTTAAATGATTTAATTATAGGAATGCAATGTATGCTGTGACGTATTTGTATTCGTAACTGTATTGTACATGACCTCACAGCTGATGATCTGATGTTTGTTGGACGCAATGGTGGTGATTGATCCGTACATTGGGGGACAATGTTCTACACTTCTTTCTGATATGAGAATTCTTTAAAGTGCATAAGGTGCGTACATATTTAGGGAAATCATATTAATGATCTCCCTAACTGTTTAACCGACAACTGATCTGCAAACAGGTTCGCTGACTACTACACTATTATTTACAACGTCAGTAAATCATCTGCCCTTATCCAACAAAATCTCAATAACAATCTAAATCATCTTTTCTCCTGGCTTTCTGAAAACTATATTTAATTATTTAAAAAAATAAATTTATGCTAATAGGAACATCTCAAAAACTCAGACGAAGTCCTGGTGTTATAAAACTATCAATCATCAGCCTATTGAAAACGTCACTTGTATTAAGCACCTCGGTGTCCATATTGATAACAATCTCACTTGGAACATGCAAATATCTCACCTTTGTAACAAAGTTAACTCTTCTATCTCACTCATTTCACGAACTTTATACTATTTTAACTTTTTATAACCGCTCTTCTTTTTTATAACTATCTTTTCTTACCTCATGTACATTATTGCATTACTGTGCAGGATTCCACCTTGCCTCATTTTTAAAAATTAAATTGAAAAGCTGCACAACATCTGTTCTTCAGGTTACACAACTCCTACCATTCAACACTTTAACACAATTTCTACTCTTACTGTTTCTCAACGTGCTGATTTTAAAACTAGCTGCCTGGCCTATCGAGCTTCAAAAAATCTCGCCCCTGCTAACACTTGTCGTAGACTTGTCAGGATTACTTTAATGGTAGAATGTCCAGACGGCAATTTTCCAGGAGAGACTCTGTCGTTCCACCAAGACCACAATGCGAACTTAAACATTCTTTTAATTATAAATTACCTAATAAATATTTTAACTCACTTGACGTTTAAACTAGAGTAGTATAATTATTAATAGCACGCTTTATTATTTTATCCATTTACATTTTAAAATGCTACCTGTCATTCTTATTAGATTTTATTGCATTTTAATAATTTTAAGTTTTAACAATTGTAGATATATTTTTCTTAACTATTTACGTATGTTTTTCATGTTATGAAATTTCTTGTATGTTTCTCGTTTGTATTGTTAAGGGCTCTTTAAAATCAGATCACGCTGGAAAGGTCACCCTCTTGAAATGGTTGTTTAAATAATAAATAAATAATACTAAAATACCATGCTGATACGGAGCCAGCGCTTCTAGAAGTCGACACAAGGATCTAGGCTTCGGTTGTGTGGAGTGTGAGCTCTTGAAAACGGCGCGATAACCTCTCCTTTTCGACAGGATCGCTGATGATAAACCCCTTTTCTCCCCATAAGCTTACGGTGATCCTCCAACTTAAGTTAGGGGTGTCAGTTATTTCATCGAGATTCGTATATATTATTGCCTACAAACAAATGCAAAAAGCTCAGCAAGGGTTGGTTATTTTCAGTCAGGGGAAATCCCGGCACTTCTGCGGAAGTTTTTTCCACGGCGAATTTTTGAAACACAGAATAAATATCCCCTTCCAGGAAAAATCCCAACTCCTTTGTAAATATAACGTCTTCTGGAAATAACCCAGTCTTGCCAAGTTGGTGCATTTTCATTGAAAATTTGGGATAATTGTATGAAATAGTTCATACTCCCCCTAAAATGAAGGATTACCGCAACCTCAAGAAAAATAACAACTGAACGCTCAACTTTAATAAGCTACTCGGAGTAACCGACCAACCGGGGTGTGAGTATATTGAGTATATATAGTTTTTAGGCCTAAATTACGATATATTTTGGTAGTTTTATCAGTGGTGGCGCCAGTGGTGGGGGGGGGGGTGTCAGGGAGGGCAACCCCGTCGGGCAGTCCTGTATCCCCTGTCGTCTGACGCCACAACGAGGTCAGCGGATCTTCACCTACTTTTGGGAAAACTCAAACATCGCACCACAGGCTTTTCCATTTATAAACCCAAGTAAACCTTACAAAATTCAACTCATTCCAAATAGGCCGACAACTTGCACAAAATATAAAATTAAATTTATTTCAACATTGAATTGTTGTTGAAGGAAAACACAAAGCCAGGACATTTGTCATTGTCAATAAATTACGATTAGATACATTGAACTCCTGAATCTGATAGCTAAAAGACCTACTGTATTTAAATTATATAAATCAGTAAACTTGTAACTACTATAACTTTCACATCACAAAATATGTAATCGAATTTAATTCAACAACAATTTTTGTTGAAGGAACAAATAGCCATAACATTTGTCATTGTCTAGGTCCTTGTCAAATAAATACGATTATACATTGAACTCTTCTGAATCTTATAGTTAAAAGACCTGCTTTATTTGAATTGTATATAAATATATAATTACGCCATAATTCTAGTTGTGTTTTGTGGAGATATGTCTAGGTATACTTGAGTTTCACTTGGCCACCATGCTGTGTATGCCCCAGAGCGTGCGCGTAGTTCAAATATTTCATACCGTTTTTAATATTTTCGTTAAATTTAAAACGATTGATATTGACTATACTCCAGCTAGTTTCAGTACAAGTTGGTATATTACATATTGTTATATATAGGCCTATGATAATACAATATATTATGATTACCATCATGTCTTGTCATAAGATTCCATTATTTACAGAATATCATAACATGTTTCAATGTGCGTTTGATTATCTTAATTATATTTCGCAGGTAGGGTGTTGGTGGTTGCTCCAGGCTTAGTCTCAAATGGGCTGTGTAGTTTTCATTTTTCCCCACTCAACAAAGCAGACTATATTCGCTAAATTACAAAACTGACACACTGTATGCTAAAGTTCTAAATTATAATGTATGAAAGGATTTAACAGTATATTTTTCCATGCAAAAGATATATAAGTTTACAAAAAAAGAAGGGTAAATTAGTATTAAATAGCCACAACTGCCCAAAAGGCATATGCTTAAAGAATTTAAACAATTTTACACATGAAGACATGGAAATGACTATATCTACAATATAACTTAAAGCACAACTGAAATGATTTTCAATAAATTTGAGTATTGAAAATAAAATGGAAACACAAAAAATTAAGGTTACAAAATAATATACTTAAATTGTTTAGAACTTATGTCTTATTTCTTATGTAATATGAGTTTTGGTTGGTCTTAATTTTGGTTAATAAAATCATCTATAAGTAAATAAGTACATCAGTTTTCATAAGAACCAGTAAAATTTTGCCCAGGCTCAAAGATAGAACATTGTTATTATACAGCATTATATTTACTGTACTGTTTTATAGAGGGTATTGCATAGTCACAAAAGTACAGATGCCTCCTAAACATTAATACTGTACTGTATATGACTAACTAGCTAGATTTGTTGGTTTTATTTATTTTTTAAATAATATAAACTTTATTTGACATTTTACCACCTCAGCGTCAATTTGTTCTTATTTCGTTCTTATCTTTAAAGCAATTTCAGCCTCGGTGTTCTTATAAAATATACACATCTAGATGTGTATAAGAGACCTCCACAACTGTCCTGTCTACAAGCCGAATTTACTCTTTTAATTTGCCCTGGCATGCTATCACAAATCGAAATTTCAGATCTACAATAATGTCACATCCCACCGAGAATCTACCTGTAATTGTGTAATTCAAGTACCATTCTATACGCTCTTTTTAAACCGCTTCATCCAGGGGGTTAAGAGTGGAACTTTACAAACCTAAATGTCTCTGATGTTTTTGTGATTGTAAATGCTTGTTATAGCTTTATTCAATTTCATAATTAACCTCCTCATAATTACTATCACAGCATCATAACAGGGGTGGATCCAGAATTTTAAAACGGGGTGGGTGGTAGGGCGGGGGGCACAATAGTTTTAGAATAGATAAGTGAGTAGCACATAACAATATGTATTGCAATTTTAATATTATTTTAGTGGCAAAATGGGAGGGGAGCCCGTCCCCCCGTGCCCCCTATTGGATCCGCCCCTGCATAACCAGTATGTTCATCAACATTGTTGATTATCATATCATATAATTATTATTATATTATTATTCTTATTATTATTATTACTGGACTTCAGTGTTATTGTTTATTTTATTGCTATGCTTTGGTAGTTGACACTTGTACAGGGAATATCTCACTTTGTTAACTACCATCTCGTGTAAGAAAAATAAAATTATTATGAATAATAATAATTTTTAGTTATTGCATCGTTCGGTTACAATAGTATAACTACGTAGGCCTATCTAATAATTAAAAAAACAATTTTTATTTTAGGAACGCGATGGACACAATTATTTTTTTGTAAATAATTAAAGAAAAAAAAAACTCTTACGCCCAATTATGATAAGTATGTATTAGATAATAACCTATTCTGAGAAAACTGAGCTTATGTAATTAAAAAAATGAATTTTATTACCAAATTTGATGTTATGTAATTAAAGGCCTGTGTGTCAAATACTTGCATTATCGATAATAAATAAATAAATAAATAAATATATATATATATAGGCAATATTACTGTATTGATAAATTATTAATAGTCATACTTAATTATCAGTTTATATTATAATTCAAAATCTCTTTTTTTTTTTTTAAATTGGCTGGGTAAAGAATAAACATAAGAACACACTTCTAATTAAATTACGTTTAAAAAAAAGTAACAAAAATAGACCATATTAATGTACCGTATGCATCAGAATGAATTCACGGGTTTGAATTAATTATGGCCGTAACATCGGTGAACCGTTCTATACAACATCCATGGTATTCCATATTGCTATATGAGTCACGTGAACTATTAATTTTCCAAGGTCAACATCAACAAACAGATTTAGAATTTTCATACGCGTATAATATAATAGCTGTTGATCGTAAGGAATGATAGATTCCGATGTAAATGATCTATAAAACAGAGGGGTGTTAGGAGGAGTGAGACGGGAAATAATGCCTACCGCCAAAGCTCTTTGGATTGGATTATTTCGGTGGTGAAATGAGATGTTTCTGTCGGATCCTTCTGGTGGTGAATTTTGCAGTACCCCGGGAGAACATCCCTACAATTTCCGTAGTGTTTCTTTGAATCCCAGTACGATGGCGTATTTCATTAATACTTAGTATGTATTACACTTTCTTAACTAGGTCTGTGTTCTAACGTTGACTACATGACTACCTATAGGCTAATTCACAGACACTGACGGCACCGTCTTATCCAAAAGACGGTGCGCTATTTCATTCCTGCATCTAGAAACGTAACACAATGAGGGTAGTGAGTGGGTTAGAACGGGGACCACCAAACGTTATTTAAAAATCTTCATTGTTCAATTCAGCGGACACACAATGGCTACCTGATATAGGCCTATAAGTAAACGTTTTGGCGTTTGTAATACGACGTCTCTGCCAACACTTTTTTTAGGTAAAAATCTTTTTGCTCAACCGACCGACGCAAAACTTCAAAAATCCAGGGTCGTCTTCTTTTGCCCACGTAATTGTATACGATGTTTGAAAAGGCGAGTCTTCGAGCTTTGAAATATAATATTGGCATACTTTATCTGTATATTAGCCCTGTGTAACGAAAATATTATTGCTAGGACTGAAACCTTGAAAGGGCTTATGCATAATATATACATATAATAATAATAATAATAATAATAATAATAATGATAATGATAATGATGATGATGATGATGATGATGATGATGATAATAATAATAATAATAATAATAATAATAATAATAATAATAATAACAATAATAATAATACAGCAAAGTACATACTCCACATAGGCCTAAGGCCCGATATCATACAATTTACTGATTCAATGTAATATTATTATTTAAGGTATATTTATTAAAACTTCAATGTTCATTAAATACATAGGCCTACATAATAGCAACATGGCTGAATTGAGTAGGGAATCACAAAGGTATAAAATAATAAAACAGCAGAAAAATGAAAAACAAAAAACAAAAAAACAAAAAACAAAAAAACAAAAAATAGAAAACAAAAAAAAAAGAATTTTTTATGGATGTATGAAAGTATTGTGTAATAATTAGTGCATAGGGCATAGTACTATAATTGTACTGCCCAATCCAACTTATTTCGTGTGGTGTCCCCTGCACAGCCCCTTTGACTACAATATATAATTCATAGCTTATCATCATTATAGGCCTGCATTACCATAGAGCTCCAATAAAAATAAATATTTTAAAAAATAAAAATATCAAATATTAAAAATATTGATTGCAATACGACTTTGGTAGACTATGAATCAATAATTTAAATCTTATAAGTATTTTACAATTTTTACACTCAATCGATACATCAAAAGGATCGACAGTGTCCTACCTGTGGGTCTCAAGGGACGTTGTGCGAAGACAAGACCAAGAAAAGCTAGGCAGAGCAACACCCGTAACATGGCTGATGGAGGATAATAATTCAATGACACTTAACAATGCCTCTGAGCTGTCAAAGTACCACAGCTGAATGGCGCATCTCATTCCACACAAGTTCACGATCAATCGTGATCACACACAGCGCAGTGCGAGTTACGCTCACAGTTTGTTGTGTTCTGATTGGTGCAAACTATAAATAGTCAAAGAGTTCGCCTCTGGTAGCAATATTTTTGATACGTATTACTGTTGCTCAAGGTTTTGTCAACATAATCTATCGTATCGATGACAGGTAAATCACACTTTGCGTTTTGCTCATCGATTCTGACATAGTACCTCAGGACATGTATGTTCTAGATAATGAAAACATTTGCGTTTGGAGTTCCGTTCGTGTTACTTGTTGTTGGTATAAGGAGTACTGAAGATATTTTGATGAGGCTTTAACGTGTTCGAACACAAAGGAGGGCTTGATAAGTACTTGTTGGCGGTGCCAAACGTCTCTAATATGAAGGTCTACAACGGAAATTATAAGATCGTACTCACAGAGCTAAATTTATCCCATGAACAAGGCCTAGGGATATTTCAACATACATCATTTTATACTTTACAGTATTATACTTTATAT